GGCAAGAAATATTCAAAGTGATGAACAGCAAGAACCTACAACCAAGATTACTCTACCCAGCAAAGCTATCATTCAGAATTGAAGGGCAGATAAAGAGCTTCACAGACAAGAAAAAGCTGAAGTTCCTCACCACCAAACCAGGATTATATGAAATGCTGAAGGGTATTCTTTAAGAAGAGGAAGAAGAAAAAGGTAAAGGTAAAAATTATGAACAACAAAAAGACATCAAATACTGTGTTTCCCCGAAAATAAGACATCCTCTGAAAATAAGACATACTTACAGGTTTCCTTCTGAGTGAAATATAAGGCATCCCCCCAAAATAATCCCCCCCTCCCCCAGGCTAAACATAGATTTGGTCCACTGATTCTGAAAGAAATGGAGTCACAAGAAATTCACCAGGAAATTCAGGAATTGGATTGTTATGATGATGATGTTCCAGAAGATGATGACATGATTGTCATTGAATAAATGAGTAAATTCTTGATACTGTAGGATTCACAGTTTGTCTGGTTTGTGTTGACAACTACCATACTACCGTATACAGGTAATAAATTTCCTTTATTTTCATTTAACAATAAATGTGTACTGTATTCTTCTTCATGGAAAAATAAGACATACCCTGAAAATAAGACCTAGCGCATCTTTGGGAGTGAAAATTAATATAAGACACTGTCTTATTTTCGGGGAAACAGGGTATGTACCTACCAACAAGTGAATCTGAAAATCAAGTGATTAAAAAATCTGAAGAATAGAATGGACTGGTGGGTATAGTAGAATCATGGACATAGAAAGCGAGTGGACTGACAATTCTCAGGGAGAAGGGGGTCTGAGGGGTGCAGGAAGAGATTGGACAAAAATCTTACACCTATAGATGAAGACAGTGGTGGGGGGTAAGGGCATGGGGTGGGGTGGGGAGTCAGGTGGAGGGGAGCTATGGGGGTGAAAAAGGAACACCTGTAATAATCTGAACAATAAAGATTTTTTTTATTTTTTAAAAATATATTTTATTGATTCTTTTACAGAGAGGAAGGGAGAGGGATAGAGAGCTAGAAACATCGATGAGAAACATTGGCCAGCTGCCTCCTGCACACCCCCTACCAGGGATGTGCCTGAAACAAATGTACATACCTTTAATCGGAATCGAACCTGGGACCTTTCAGTCTGCAGACCGACGCTCTATCCACTGAGCCAAACTGGTTTCGGCAATAAAGATTTATTAAATTTAAAAAAAGCTCAAGCTGCCCTAGTAGGCATTTTAATCTTAGTGGGATACCACAAGGCAAAGTGGAATATATTGAAATGACATTGTAAAAACATGGTAGAAGAAGCAGAAGAGCCCTTGAGGCCTTAAATTGTCAGAAAAGTCCAACAAAAATAGAGTATGTTAGATCATTGTATAGAATAGAATGAGTTTGGTTGAGGGGGATGTCGGGCAAAAAGTTTCTGCTGAAGGCATAGTATGAGCAGGTATATAGAGATGGGAATGGGTGTCATGAGTTCAAAGCATTCGAGTGACCAGGGTGCCAACCTGGCTGATACAGAGATTTATGCTGAAGAGTATGGGGCAGAAAGTGTGGGGACATGAAGCAAGGCACTGGAGAGAGAGCTTCTGGGCACCAGGCTGAGGGGTTTGTGCTGGCCCTTCCTCAGCAATGGGGGGGCGGCAGATATGAACCATGCCTCATCTGGCACTGGCTGGGGAGACACTAGAAGTGAGGACACTAGTCAGAGGCTACAGAAGAAGGCTCAGAAGGTTGGGGAATGGTTGGCTATGGGTGGCGAAGAGAAGAGGACAGAATACTAAAGGATTCCAGAATGCTTGGCTTGGGTGTTTGGGAATGACTGGCGGTATCTTGCCCACCAATCAGTCTTTTGTAGGAGCTCTGCCTTTCAAATGGCTTTCCTTTCCGCTGAGTTTTTCGGGTTTGTTTGTTTGTTTGTTTGTTTTCCCTCCTGGAACCTAGAGATTTTTTAATTTTTTTAAAGAAAGAAGAGAACATGTTCCTGCTGCAAGTTTATTTGGCATCTAATCCCTTTTGCGTTCACTCATAGGTGTTTCTAGCTCTCTACCTCTTGGTCTGGAGCCAAGTCAGGGATGAAAGTCAAAGGCAGCCTGAGTTCTCCCTTGGAGATATCAACCCCTCCCACTTTTCTCTACTTTCTTGCCATTAGAACTAGCATAGTCATTATATCTTGGGACTGGGGACTGCAGGGGGTTTTAAAGTCATCTAGATGATTTCTCTGCCTTTAAGAAGGAGCAAATCCTCCCAAATGTATTAAATATCCTATGTTTGCAAATTGCATTTCTCTGAAGGACCTCACCAATGAGCCTTGGGAAAGCTATTTAGAATTAATTGATCACTATCAGGAAATTGTTTATGTGCAACCTCTCATAGTTCAGCTTCCAATTTCCCTTCTCATTCTTTTGTGAAGAGACACAATAGATATTGTCTCACTTACCATAATGTTCTCAAGTTTCATCAATATTGTTCCAAATGGCAAGATTTCATTCTTTTCATGGCTGATTTATTAAATGTTTCCTTAATGGGCCATGATTAAATGGTTTTAATTAGCTATTCAATAAATATATGGACACTTTATTTATTTATTAAAAAAAATTTAAGCCGAAACTGGTTTGGCTCAGTGGTAGAGCCTCGGTCTGGGGACTGAAAGGTCCCAGGTTCAATTCCAGTCAAGGGTATGTACCATGGTTGCAGGCACATCCCCAGTGGGGGGGGGTGCAAGAGGCAGCTGATCGATGACTCTCTCTTCCTCTCTGTAAAAAATCAATAAAATATATTTTAAAAAAAATTTAAATATATTTTATTGATATATTTATTTATTTTTTTACAGAGAGGAAGAGAAAGGGATAGAGAGTTAGAAACATCGATGAGAGAGAAACATCGATCAGCTGCCTCTTGCACATCCCCCACTCTATCCACTGAGCCAAACGGGGTTCAGCCACTTTATTTATTTTTGACATATTTTTTAAATAGCAGAAAACACATGGTGCTATGGTCTCAATGCTGGTGCTTCCCCTCTCCATCTCAACTTCACTTATTGAAAATCTAATGCCCAAGGTAACGGTATTAGGACGTAAGGCCTTTGGGAGATAATGAGGCTCTGAAGGCTGAGCCCTCGGGCGTGGGATTAGTGCCCTTATAAAAAGACATCCCAGAGAGCTGGATTGCCCTTCCACCATGTGAGAACACAGAAGTCTGCAACCTGCATCAGGACCTCACCTGGTCATACTGGCCCTAATCTGAGAGTTTCAGCCTCCAAAACTGAGAAATATCGATAAGTTTCTATTATTCATTAGCTATCCAGTCTGTGGTATCTTGTTAGAGCACCACAAATGGACTGAGACACATGGTAAAAAAAGGAAAGGGATATGCAATGAACAGTTTTTTCCCAACACCTGTCTCAGCCATCTCATTTCCTGATGCATGTGTGTTCATGGAGACAGCCGATGCATATAAAAATAAATATATATAATGTATTCTTAATACAGTTCGGCAGCGTGCTTTAATAACGCTTTGTATCTTGTTTTTAGGTTTAATAATATACCTAATATATCTCTCTCATAGATGTTTCTAGCTCTCTACCTCTCTCCCTTCCTCTCTGTAAAAAATCAATAAAATATATTTTTAAAAAAATTTAGCTTGCTATACTTAACTCACCCCTAGTGCCTTGGCAGGGCCAGACCAAATGATTCTGTGGGCCTTATATAGCCCATGGGCCAGACGTTCTCCACCCCTGGCTTACAGCAATGTACTTGGTGCCATGCAGAAGCAGTAAGTTGGGCAGCCTCTGCTCCCAGCAAACTATAGCCCAATCAGGAAGAAAAGACATGGGGATGAGGAAGGCTGATTGCCATTTCAATTGCCCTGCAGTATTCCCTGGTTTTCCAGCACACTAGACTCTTCCTAATAGCCTGTACATAACTTAGATGAAATTTCAGCCTGTTAGATGTGCAGATGATTGTGAGACGGACCTGGCCTATACTGGAGATTATAAGCTCAGGTGCCTATAGGGGCCAAGAAGGAGAACTAAGTGGGCAAAGTGGAGCGAGCCAATTGAAAGAGCACAGCTCTATTTAACGGGGCAGCCAACTTTGCTCCAGGATATTCTTTCCTTATGGGTTGCTAGATCTGGTTGATTAAAAGGAATCTATGGATAAAAGTCATATGGGGTCTTTTTGTTTTATTTCTTACAACCTCATGTGAATCTATAATTACCTAATAACTAGAGGCCCAGTGCACAAAATTCATGCACCTGGGGGAGGGGGTGTCCCTCAGCCTGGCCTGTGCCCTCTCACAATCTAGGACTCCTCGGGTAGGGTCCCTAGGCCTGGCTGGCCATTAGGGCCTATCTGGGCTTTCCTTCCCCCAAATGCCGGCAGCTGGCCCCATGGCCACTGCTTGCCATCAGTGTGGCGCTGACTGGCCTGTGCCCTCTCTCTTCCCCGCCATTGGTTGCCTCCCTCTGCGAGCAACAGGTATGATATGCGACTGCTGGCCAGCCTCGCACACCCACCACAGCATCACTAGCCAGTGGCCTGGGCCTCCCTTTGTGAGGCAATCATGGGGTGGTGGCAGAGCCCCCCACCAATTGCATTGCATTCCCCTTGGCTGGCCTGGCACCAGTGCATGCCATAGGATGGTCATCTGGAAGGTCATCCAGATGGTTGTTCTGCTGTTTGGTTGTTAGGTCGATTTGCATATTACCTTCTTATTATTTAAATTAAAAGTTTGATTTAAAATAAAAACAAATAATAATAATAAAAGTAATTTTAAAAGCCAGAAACCTGGATCATTGTGTGAAGTTACCTGATACATAAATGTAGGATCTGTGCTCAGCCGGAGCATTGTAATTCGATTTTCACAAAGCCTGTGGCATCCCAATCCATGAATTTGCTTAAAAAGCACTTCTTGTTACTTTGTCACAGTCTTTGACAGTGGCCATCTCCACTCACTTGTTGAGTTTCCTCTCATTCCAGGTCCTCGGATGTGGCTGTGTTGCCCAAGCCATCCTCAGTCGAGGACGTTTTGGAGGAATCGTCACTGTTAATGTTGGATTTGCAATGGCGGTCACCATGGCCATTTATGTGACTGGGGGTGTCTCCGGTAAGTAAGAGAAATAATAGCAGCTGCCATTATCTCAACCATTTCCATGTGCTAGCACAGTGCTGGGTGCTTTCTATACCTTCATGTATTTAGAGCTCAGCATCCTGAAAGAAATGTGTATTTGGTTCTATTTTCACAGTTGATAAAACGAAAATTTCCAGAAAATGGCAAGTGATGTGTGCGCAGGCAGCTTTTAGCAAGAGACAGACATGGGAGTTAGAACTGAGTTCCCTATCTGGCCACTACATCGTACTTTTCACCTGTCTTTTCCTTGCTCTTCCCTGGAAACTATTGCCCGGATGCCGGGTGAATAGCCCAGTGAAGACGCCACTGCACAGAGGCCCACTACCTGCCCCTTCGTCCGCAGCACTCAGAGTCTGGGCCACCGGCTGGGCTTTCATGGAAGCGCAGGTCTGGCCCAGAGGCCTTGGTGTAATTCTGCCTGGGAACGAAGGAATGGACTGTGAGAACGATCTGGTTCCAAAGGCTCTTGGGATCTTTCAGCAGCTGGTCTGGGTGCTCAGAACACTAGGACGAGATTGTTGGTGGTGAGGGGAAAAGGTAATCATGCATGCTGGGCAATGTGCTGGCTGCTGGCATGCTTACCTCTCTCCCCTCTCCAGCAGGACTCAGAGGCAGGCATTAGTGTTTCCCTTCCACAGAGAGCACTGGGGCTCTGAGAAGTTACATGAATTGCCAGAAGTCTCACAGCTGGTAAAGGGACAGAACAAAGAGTTGACCCAGGCCACCATGACAGGAAAACTCATGTTATTGCACAACATTCCCAACAGCCTAAGAGGGAAGGGCGTTACAGGCAGGGCACTTCATTGCAGCCCTGAAGAATGATAGCCTTGCCTCCCTGGGAGCCTCCCTGGGCTGGGCACCTGGAACTGTCATTTGCTCGCTGCCACCCTTTCCATCTCGCAGTCGATGTTGATCCGGGGGCAGTCCAGGTGACAGATGCCTGTCATGTCATTTGTTTGACATGAGCAGTGTTTTCGTTCAAACTCCAGCCGAGCCTCTGCTGTGATCCCAGCGCTGTACTGCGGACCCGAGCCTCAGGGGTAACCGGGGCTCCATCTTGAAAGTGCCGAGGCTTAATTCCAGCACAGGCCTCAGCCCCACAACAGGACATGCTCCTGCATTAAAACGAGCACGCAGGATGCTCCGCTGCCACCTGACAGGCTCCCACGCCATTCACACCCGTGGTTTCCACTAAGCATGTGATATGACTGCGGGCATATTCTCAGCTAGTTTTTTATTGTTTGTTTTCTGGTGGACGCGTGGTTTTGGAGTATTTTGCTTGCATGGCACCCTGAATTGAATGTTGCCAAATATTTAGTTAAGATGGCTTTGTCCCACACCGTGCCCGTGTAACTAACACCTTTTGCCACCACCACCATCCATGACTGCATTCACTGATGCACTTGGGCAATCTGGGCCATCCCAGAGGATGAAAGGGAGGAACAGCAGGAAGGGGAAGAGGGAGTAGAGGTTGTTGGTATGGATCTGGCCCCTGGACTGGGATTAAGGCCTTGTGCTCAGAGTGGTGAGGGGCAGAACTCCTGGAACTGTTTTTAATAGAGTTGCTCCTGGATGAGGGTCAATCAGAGCTGGCCAAATTGTTTATGAGAGACGGTGAGATCCCAAAATACAAGTAGAGCTTTTTGAGGCTGGCTGGTAAGGGGCTCATCTCCCCCTCTCTGTTTGGGAACTCAGCACTGTTCGGACAACACATTGGCCGACTCAGTATTGGCTCCAGCAGCTGCAGGAACAGGGGAGGAAGACTGTGTGTGGGAAGTGACTTTCTCTTGGGGCTGCAGCAAACGTAATGGTTTGTAGGCACCTGGGAGGCCCTCCTTGAGGATTCCAAAAACAACAAAACATAACCGTCAATGAGATCTCATTTTGTGGTTTCAGACTGGTAAGGTGAGCTGACATCTGGTTTTGAAATATAAAACATTACCTGACTCAAAGAAGTTACCACACCTGCTTTTCCTTGTGAACATGCCAGTGGTCTGGGAACCCAACCAGCCAATCAGAGCGCATGACATCCTCGCTATGTCTTCCACCCAGTGTTACGCCACTGGCTTGCACCAGGCTACAGTGCTTGTTTTGATGTAGTATTTTATAAGTCATAGAAATTCACCGAAAAATCAAAATAGCTTTGCTTAATGACAAATAACATGTGAAGGCTATCTCCATCCTAGAATTGTCTGTTGGTGGTGGGGAGGAGGGGACTTGTCTAGAACAGAGCCCCGAGAGAGCCCAGCCAGCTCACCAAGACTTTTATCTCAGGCCTCAAGGCCTCTGACAGCCAGTGGGGCTCTTTGTGTGAACAATCTGATCATCACGACAACCTTGACAGGGCCCGAGTGAGGCACTCCCTGACTCTGGCACTGCTGTTCTTTCCAGAACACTGCTCTGCCCTGTCCCTTGGGTAACCAAGAGTGACCACTCATCTCTGCAAGGAGACATTTTCCTCGTTGCTCTGCAAAGCACTCTCCCAGACACACCTTCTCTGGTCCCCAACTTTCCCTCTCTGTACATCCTTGGCGTCTGAGCTATCTGGATAAAGGCCTCTGTTTATTTCTTCAACTTTTAGATATCCTCACCTGAGGATATGATTTTATTTATTTATTTACTTACTTATTTGAGAGAGAGGAGGGGGAGAGAAATATTGGTGTGAAAGGCAAATCAATTGGTTCCCTTTCCCTATGTACTTCAACCAAGGAGTAAACCTGGGTATATGTCCTGACCAGGAATCAAACCTACCACCTTTTTTTTTTTTTTTTAAGTCATCATTGTTGAAAGTATTATGTATGTCCCCATTCTACCGCCCCCCTCATTGATCCCTTCTAGCCCACCTCCCTCGCCCGAGGCCTTCACCATCCTATTATCTGTGTCCATGGAACCCACCACCAGGGGCAATGCTCCAACCCACTGAGCAACCTTGGCAGAGCTCAACTTTCATATTTTGAACACCTACTAAGTGCCTTGCAGCACATGAAGTCCCAGGTGAAGAACAGTTCCAGCTTCAGGGTGCTTATAAGAGATTAAAACACAAAAACCTACTGTGGGAAGTTTTATTTTGGGACAGGAGCTTGCTAAACAAACATCATTTCCACTGGTGAACCCATAGAAAGCGGGGTATTTTATTTGGGGGACTTAGGAACTGTCCACTATCCTATGTGCTCCCTGCTCCCTGCTGTGAACCCTGGTCCCTGGTGCATGGACTCCTGCTGGTCTCCAGCATCATAAATCTCTTTTATTTAAAAGTAAAATAAGAAGGTGTCATATTTGCAAGGCTTCAGGAAATCATCTGGGCTTTGGCATATTGGCAATTTTGCTCATGTTAGCCCCTGCGTGTCAGGGGCAGGTATAGGAAGGACCCTGGGGTTTAGCCAGAAATTAGAACCCCTCTCTGCTACAAACCCACATTGATGTAAAGACTCAGGAAAAAGCATGAGTCTTTACACCTGCACAGGAAGTGCTTCCAAAAACAAACTTACCCATAGGTGCTGTGGAGGGTTATATATGAAGCATCATCATAACCAGCATTGTCATCACTCTAGTTTTTTGTTTTTGTTTTTTAATTTAAAAAAAATACATTTCATTGATTTTTTACAGAGAGGAAGAGAGAGGGATAGAGAGTTAGAAACATTGATGAGAGAGAATCATCAATCAGCTATCTCTTGCACACCCCCTACTGGGGATGTACCCACAACCATGGTACATGCCCTTGACCGGAATCGAACCCAGGACCTTTCGGTCTGCAGGCCGACGCTCTATCCACTGAGCCAAACTGGTTTCAGCTCATCATTCTTGTTTACAACTATTTCTGTAGCCCAAAAATCCACATTTTCATATGGTCACATTGACAGGCATTCTAATCCCCCCTCCACACAAAATATCACCTGTAGGGAGCCCATACACGCATGTGATTGTTATTTTCCCCTGCCCACTGAGGCAGAAGCCTTTATAAACTTGGTGCAGAAGGTCTGGAAGTGCCTGGCCAGTGTGGCTCAGTGGTTGAGCATCTACCTATGAACCAGGAGGTCACGGTTCAATTCCTGGTTAGGCCACAGGCCCAGGTTTTGGGCTCAATTCCAGTTGGGGAGCATGCAGGAGGCAGCCCATCAAGGATTCTCTCTCATCATTGATGTTTCTATCTCTTTCTCCCCCTCCTTCTCTGAAGTCAATAAAAATCTATTTTAAAAACAGGGTCTGGAAGTGACAGAACATAGAACACAGTTCAGAGAAACCTGGACTTGAATTCTAGTTCTCCCACTTTTAACCATGTAGCCTTAGGAAAGTTACTTTGTTTCTGTGCTTCAGTTTCCTCACCAGTGAACTGGAGCAGCACCCATCTCACCAGGTTCTTCTGAAGATCAAGTGTGTGTCCTATCCCTGTGATTATCAGTGTGATAGCATCTGGCAAGTGTTCAATGAAAGTTGTTGCTAGCACAGTCAGCTGGGAATATTAGTGACTTACCAGAGCAAACTCTGTCTGACCTTGTGGTGAAGAGAATCAAGGAGGCTGATTTCTCTAGCCATGACATGAGCACTGCTACATGTGTGTGAAAGGAATATATTGTTTATGCAGAACTGCAGATAACCCACTCAGACACTGATCACCTCAAAGTTAATGGAGGCCGTTACCTCAGTGAGAGGCACAGCCTATCAACAACCAAGCCCAGTTCCTGGGAGATGTCTCTTCCCCTTAAAGAGATGTCTCTTTTTCAAATTAAAAAAAAAAAATAATAATAATAAAAAAATTTATTTGAGCCAAACTGGCAACATGCTGAGAAGTAAGATTTCAGCTCTCTCTCTCTCTCTCTCTCTCTCTCTCTCTCTCTCTCTCTCTCTATATATATATATATATATATATATATATATATATATATACACATACACCAAGGAGGTGCATATATATATATATATATATATATATATATATATATATATATATATGATTTTTTTACAGAGAGAAAGAGAGAGGGATAGAGAGTCAGTAAATCGATGGAAGAGAAACATCGATCAGTTGCTTCTTGCACACCCCCTACTGGGGATGTGCCCTCAACTAAGGTACATTCCCCTGACTGAATCAAACCTGGGGCCCTTCAGTCCGCAGGCCTACGCTCTATCCACTGAGCCAAACAGGGTTTTGGCCTCAGCTTCCTTTTTACTTCCAAGATTGTTTATATCTTCTGGACATGGACTGAGGAGTTGCTAGATATAGAGTTAAACTGTATAGGTGTGGAAACCCCTTTCACATCCCGCAAGGTCTAGGGTCCTGGTTCTGGAGAAGGCTGCACACAAATGAGAAGAGACTAGGAAAAAATTAATTTGGGAAATGGGGGGGCAGGTGGGAGCCCACCTTTGGTGGGAGGACTACAGCTAGGCTCTTGCCTTGCTATCCCTTTCATTGAGACTATGGGATATACCCATAGCCCTTAGGCAGATAATAGGTGGATTATCATATCAGTAAGGATTTACATGATTATTTGATGAAGAAATTGCCTCAGTTACCATTGTCTCAATTAGATAGGGAGTGGTTGGCTCTGACCTTTCAGAGCTTCAAGGTTGACAAGCCTTCCACATCTTTCTATTAGTGAGAGAATGCTTGGTTTTTGGCAATAGGTCTATTGACTTTTTAAAAAGATAGTGAAGTTAACAATTCATATCAAACTCTTTGAGGTTATTGCTTTATAAATAGAGAAAAATCCACTAGATAGATGATAGATAGATAGATAGATAGATAGATAGATAGATATGAGCCACTTGAATAAAAGTTTCTTTCTATGTAAAAAAACTAAACATCCTAAACAGTGTCTAATGATGCCATAAAGATTATTATCCTCCCTTTCTACTTAAGCGTGCTTTCTCTCTCTCTCTCTCTCTCTCTCTCTCTCTCTCTCTCTCTCTCTCTCACACACACACACACACACACACACACACACAGACACACACACACACACACACACACACCACTTTGTGTCCTCAAATACAGATCCCTACCCAGAAGACTGAGGTCTCTAGATAAGAATTATTTTATTCATAAGAATTCTCCCTGATCTGCTCTCTAACATCATCTTCCCTGTAGGTGGCCACATCAACCCTGCTGTGTCTTTTGCAATGTGTCTCTTTGGACGGATGAAATGGTTCAAATTTCCTTTTTATGTGGGAGCCCAGTTCCTGGGAGCCTTCGTAGGGTCTGCAATCCTCTTTGGTATTTACTATGGTGAGTAAGACCCCTCAGTCCAGAGGTTCAGGAGAACTGGGCATAATTTGGACGTCAGAATTACTTGGAAGAGGTGCAATAAGAATAATAGGAAGCACTACAATTGACAGGCAATTTGAAAAGCTCTAAGTTCTAAATAATGGGACCAACATTATTGTTAGAGAAAATTCATGAAGCCTCTCAGTGAGAATGGTCACAACTTAAAAGAGAGAGCAGAACTTAAAGAAAGCTTATATTTAGGCCCAACCAAGACTACAATGTTAACTTGTGCAAAATAAATAGCTACATAACTTAAATAAATAATCTGATTGGACTGGTCTTGGTTTTCTCTAGAAAAATTAAGGCAATGAACTGTGGTAGGAGAGAGCTGGGGTCGGACTGGCCCTTTGGGGACACCTATATCCCTTGCTCCAAGGGCAACTTCACTATTCCATGACACCCTCAAATTGTGGACTGCTATTAAAATTATGAATTCTGCCTAGAGTAGGTTCAAGTTCCAATATAAAAAATTCCAACAATTCCCCCTACAGATGATTGTTTCCAGGACTCACTGGCTAAGGATTTGGCTCAAATTTTGAATGAACCATTGAGGGCAGCCAGAGCTCTGTGACCTTAACCTGCCATCCTACGGCTTCTCTGGCCATATAAAGTGAAGAAAAGCAAACAGTATGGATCTGCCAAATTAAACCTGAATGACCGTGGTTGGTTGACACCTGGCATAGACCTCCCTCACCCCTTCCCAGAGAATGCTAATGGGCTGAAACTCTATCTTCCTTAGATGGAATTATGTCCTTTGCTGGTGGAAAACTGCTCATTGTGGGAGAAAATGCAACAGCACCCATTTTTGCAACGTACCCAGCTCCGTATCTGTCTTTGGCAAATGCATTTGCAGACCAAGTAAGTATCCATTCAATCAATGGAGAGCTAACTTTGGTGAAGAGACAGGATTTAGTAAGGGAACTGCAGGGGACTGTTATGCACCTGTTAATAAGGAGAGGCTGCGTTTCCAGAGCCAGAGGTCACTGGGTATCACCCAAGCCTTCATGACAGATTTTTGCCTTTGTCAAAGCTGATACCATTAAAAGAGTTTTCTACTTCTCCTTTAATGTATACATTTGATCATATACTACTTGAATTCCAGAAGATAGTGGATAACTGAACATTTCAGCCTCTGTAGGGGCAAATGTGGGTTCCTACATGGTTGTGTCTCTTTTGTGCAAACAATCTAAATGGGGAGACCACAAGAAAAGACATTCTGCCTTCTTCCCAGCCCCTACCCACCCCCCACCCCCAGGTCTTCACTACCTTATTGCCCGTGTCCTTGGGCTACATATATAAGTTCTTTGGTTTATCTCTTCTCAGTCCCCCAACCTCACATTGAGGTATGCCAGTCTTGCTCTCTATCCCTGACATCACTTGCAAGAGCAATCTGTTACATGTCAGAGAATCAGGTCCTGTACTCCTCAAATAAGGAACAGCATGGAACTGTACCTGGCTCAGTATGTGCCAGTAAATAGTTATTAGTAAAAGAATGACTGTCCACTAATTAGATTATATAATATGCTTGAACAATATTTAGAGCTAAGCAATTAGTAATCTTGAGAGAAGCTGGCCCTGAAATGGCCTGGGGCCAGTTCACTCTCCTGGGGGGACAAGGAGGAGAGCATTGCTAAAGGGCTCAGTGGAGAGAGGCTGTCTCTGTGGGAAAGTCATAGGGGCTGAAGGCTTCACTTGGTCACATTCTCGGAACAGAGTTAGAGTGTAGGAAGGGGGCGGTGGGTCCGAATCTCAAGGAACTAAGACATCAGCTTTTTCAGTGCAAGCCCAGGATTGAGAAAGTTGTCTTTCTGGAAAGGGCCTGAATTCACATGAGGAACTTCTAAAGCTCCTCCCACAGCTCTGGACTCCAATGCCATCTTCTTCATTATAAGATACATTGGACTTGTACTGCAGGAAAAGTAGGATCCCTGAGAAACCTTATGATTTTTCCATATTTTAGATTGTTTTCATGGTATGGTTCTCCACTATCCAATGGGTCAAATTGAATAAATAATTTTGTGGGGCTTAAATGCATGTTGCTAAATTACTGCTGAGTTTCTTTTTAAATGTGTGGTACATGTTCAGTTCTATTGGAAAAGCCTGGGAGAATTGACATCATTTCCCTAACATTTGGTATTGTTTGCATTTCTTTTCATTACAAATCTGTTTTTCCCATTTGTTTCTTAATTCTCCTTTTTTTTAATGAATTTTCTTTTTTAAAAAAATATATTTTTATTGATTTTTTACAGAGAGGAAGGGAGAGAGATAAAGAGCTAGAAATGTCAATCAGCTGCCTCTTGCACACCCTCTACCTGTGATATGCCCGCAACCAACGTACATGCCCCTGACTGGAATCGAACCTGGGACCTTTCAGTCCGCAGACCGATGCTCTACCGCTGAGCCAAACCAGTTTCGGCTCTTTAATGAATTTTCTATTCATTTCCTTTGTTCATTTTCTTACTAATATCTCACATTATTCTTCTTGCCAATTTGAATGAGCCTCTTTGTTCATTTTCCCAGCCTGCATCATCTTTCGTTTAGCTGGGTAGTGGTTTAGCAGGAAAGTATATTAAAGTGAGTCTCTGGAGCCTAACTCTCTAGTCCACTGATTGCCATTAATTTTGCAACCTTGGGCAGGTAACTAATCTGTAAAGGCGAATATTACCAGCACATTTGAAAGGGCCCCTGGGAAGGCACATGGGCATTCTTTAATTATTGTCAGCTGAACGCCCTGCTCTGGGAACATGCCTTGCCAAAAGGGCAAGTGTGTTGTCAGCTTAACCTTCATTTCATCACGTGGTGTGGGGAAGTGGCTTTTGATATCTAAATCCAGCCTAGCACTAGGAATGCTCAGGGCCTACTCAAGAATGCAAATAATCTCTTTTGTCTTGACCTTTTGGTGAAATTTCCTGGTATTTGGGGGTATAAAATAAACAGGCTGCATTGGCTCTGGGTCACTGTCTCTCTAGCAGAAAAGGTCAGTGGTCCACCCGGCCCTAGCTTTTCTTTTTTCTCTGTGTCTTGTCTCTTTCTTTTATTTCTCAATCCCCAGCTGCCTCTACTCAGGAAATGGACCTGCTCTCTAGCCAAGCTGGACACAGAAAATAGAAAAAAATAATTACAGCAAGGAGAGTGCTGACCCTGTCTGTGTTGCTCAGTGGCATGGACCTACAAACCAAGAGATTATCAAGTCAGGGCACATGCCTGGGTTGCCAGCTTGATCCTCAGTAGGGAGTGTGCAGGGAGTCAGTCAATCGATGATTCTGTCTGTCTATCCCTCTCCCTTCCTCTCTCTCTAAAATTAAAACAAAAACAAACAAACAGAACACCCTACAACGTATCATTTCATACACACAATTGAAAAAAAAAGAAGAGTGGCACAGTGTGCTCACCAAGTGTATATTAGTTATTACTAGGTTTGTTCTTAACAAGAGGGGCTGGATTTTAAGATGGTAAACAGATTATAGGCTAACCTTCCTGGACATTTTTTATTTCCCCAGGTAATGTCCACCATGTTCCTCCTCCTGGTTGTCTTTGCCCTCTTTGACTCCAAAAACTGGGGAGTCCCCAAAGGCCTAGAGCCCGTTGCCATCGGCCTCCTGATTATTGTCCTTTCTTCCTCTATGGGATTGAACTGTGGCTGTGCCATGAATCCAGCTCGAGACCTGAGTCCCAGGCTTTTCACTGCTTTGGCAGGATGGGGGTTTGATGTCTTCAGGTAAGCAACAATGGTGGGGTGCAGGGGAGAGAAAGATTCATGCAGTGCTTTATCAGGGAGGGCTGTGCTTTGGGTTGGAATCCAGGCGAGTACACACGGGAAGGTGAAGGTCAGGTACATACCCTGGCCATGAGTGTGGAATGTCTCACTGGTGATTTGTGACATGGTGGGGCTGTGTATGTGTGTGGTGTGTGTGAGAGAGAGGCAGGCGGGCAGACACACACACACACTCAGAGAGAGAGAGAGAGAGAGAGAGAGAGAGAGAGAGAGAGAGAGAGAGAGAGGGGTTTCATAGAGATAGTCCTGTCCAAAAAAATTGGTGTATGGTTTTATGTGCAATTTTGATTGTATAACTTGTCTACAGATCTACTTTGTGACAAAGTTGATCTAGATTCTATATCTTTCAATACTACAGGGCTCTTTCTAGGGAATCATGCTAGCTATGCTTCATTCACTATTTCATTCAACAATTCTTCACTGAACTCTTATCTCAGGCTGTGTCATTGAGCTAGGCAAGGATATTTCAAAATTTGCTTAGTCACTAGCCTTGAGCAATGTAATAAGGACTCTGGCAACCCCTAAAACAAAGTTCGGAGGAGTGACTGGGGAAGTTGGGAAAGGCATCACTGAAGAAAGAGCTGGGTTGGGTCTTAAAAAACCCTAGCAGAACAGAGATAAAAGAGAGCCTGTGCACAGGAAATTTTGCAAGACCCTGTGCTGTGAACATCATAGTGTGCTGAGGAAGTATGTCAACAGTCAGTACCTAACTCCCAGGACAAAACCTGCCCATTACTTCCTTCCCACTCCCCCCTATAAAGCCATAGTAACTCATTCCATCCATTTACCACTTCTCTGTATAGGAAAGGAACTTACTTTGGTTCACGAGGAAATACTGAATGTTACACTAACAAGCAATCCAGTCTGCCTGGAAGGGTGCATGAAGAAGGTTGGAAAAGACAAATTATTGACAGACCATAGAGGCCCGACTCCTAAAAAGGAAATCTAGGGGTTTGGCTGCTCCCTATTCTGTAGGTTATAGGGAGCAGCAGAGGAGTTAGGGCAGACATTTGGCATGTTTAGAGCTTCAATTTAGCAAAATTAATCTGACATCATTATATAAAATGGATTAAAAAGGACCTCTCCTTTAGAGGAGCAGCAATCAGTTAGGAAAAAGCCAGGCTTGCTGGTTATCCTCAACCAAAAAGTTCCCAAGAAAACCTTCAAGAGACAGCAGGTCTCCAGAGTGTTCCTGGAGTCCCACCCTTTCAAGTTTCTGTAGCCAAGGTCAGCATCTCAGTAGATACCCTAGCTTGGATCCACACCCTCAGATAAAGCCAAGAACGCCTTCTCCTCAGGCCCTCACTTGCCCCTGTACGGCTAGCAGTGAGGCTGACTGGAAGTGGGGCAGCAGGAGGTCTGACAAGAGCCAGAGTCACCAGACCTTTGCCGACTCTTCCTTTTCCCAGTAAATGTTAGGATGTTTCCCATCGGAGTTCTCTCCATGAATTCACATTAAGATACTAATGATTTGATGAAGAATCTCGGGGTAGTATTATTTTTTTTAAAAAAGTTTACCCAAAGGGATGAATTCCTGATGATTGTACCTTAAGCAATTAACATAGACATTTCTGGCTTCCCCCCAAAATCACAGCATGCAAATGACCCTGTGTACATGTAAGACTTGACCCGGCAGGGAACTACGTGCAAGCTCCTCCATTTATGATATGTGACCCCTGCACAAGGCGCTCGTCTCTGATAGAAGGAGGAGGGTCCATCCAGGGGGAGGAGTACATGCTTCCTGGCAGATATTTTGGACCCCAATCTATGGAATGACAGATTCGCCATAAAATAGTAATGCAAGAAAGGAAATAAAGAGCCTCCTACTCCTTTAAAGCCCTGTGCTTCCCTTAGAAACTTCCATCTGAATTTGGGGTCTTGGGAAAGGGCGCTTCAGGAGGGCAGTTTCGCGCCCTCTCTCATGCAGTAACAGCGACACCTTGTGGCTGTTGTGCTCAGTCTCAGTGCTGTTCTTAAGAGCCTGCATTAATGATCTAAGTCGAGTTATGATGGAAGAGTATTTGTCTGATCCAAGTGGAAGGGACCAAGGGGGACTTGCCCGAAGTCCTTCTATCCTGAGATTAGAACTAGGTCTCGTGAATCCTAGAACAGGTCTCTTGTTTGTGCTCATTTCTTATCAAAATCTGATACAAAGCAAATATGTGTAGTTATTAAGCACACGGATAAGAAGCACAGCCCCGAGTCCTTCCCTTAATGGAATGCTATGAAACCCTCCTGTGCACTCATGTGCTCCTCCTGTTTTCCCTTTCTCCTCCACAGTGTCCTGAATTCTTTTTTTTTTCTATTTCCCTGCTTTTAAAAAGTTTTATCTCAAATGTATAGCTGAAGACCATATATTGTGGGGTTTTGTTTGCTTCTGAGCACTCAAGAGTTACTCACATGGATTTCCTGTCTCCAAAAAAGATGGTGACAATTCACAAAGACAGCTGCTTTCTCACAGAATTATACCCTTAACATAACATTGATATTGAGGATTTCTGAAGGGAAGAAGGAATCAGAGCACAATAGCCTGATCAGAAAATAACTTTAAGCTTAGTTACCTCAAAAAATAAGCACTTAAGTAAATTATAGTTGGTGAGTAATTCGTATTCCACTGCTGATTTTTAAAATTGTTTTCATTGATAAACATTCCTGATTATTTTTGTGGTTGCCCTCACATCACCAATGATGTCCAGGAATCTCCACATCTTCCAATTCATAATCCTCAGGACTCATTGTTTCAATACAAGGAAAGCTCCTGAATAACCAACCTGAACTTTTGTTACATGCCCTCAATTTTGACCGTATTGTAGGACTATGTTTTCTGAAAGGAAAATAAAAAATGGGACATATTTTCTCATAAGTACCAATAGGACAATGGTGGATCACCTGATGTCAGGCGTATTGAATCCAGGTTGCTAAGCTGTGGTGAGTGCCCTTATACTTAGCTCTTGCTGATTGATAAGGGAGCCATGAACATGAGAAAGACTGACTGGTTAGTGAATAACTAGCAGTAATACAAGGAGGAAGGCCACGTGATGTATCACTAATTCCTTGTTTGATTGCAGAGTTGGAAATAACTTCTGGTGGATTCCTGTTGTGGCCCCTATGGTTGGTGCTGCCATTGGAGGCCTGGTCTATATTCTTCTCATTGAAATCCACCACCCAAGCCCGAACCCAGACTTCGAGGCAGAAGCACCGGAGGACAAACTAGAGAAACACGAACTTAGTGTGGTGATGTAGCGGCGTGCTCAGTCCCTGGTTTACAACTGGCTGAGCTGATGTTCTCTTCGGAAAAGATGGCATCCAGTGGCCTATGTTTTCATAAGACTGGGAGGACCTGCCCATTGTTCTGTGCTAGCCAATTGGGACACCTGATTGGAAAAGCATCTGAGTGAAGTTTTGAAAACACTGACCTCTTCTCTACCAGTTCCCCCTGCCCTCAGACAAGTATGGATTGTCTCCTGAAACAGCCTTCTTTCCACCCTGTTTATTTCATTCTTTCCCGTGAATTTTTATTGCTGAGCGAGTACTAATAACTTGAAACTTTGACCTTGGACTTATTTGGATGGTCTCAATTGCATTATCTGTATGAAGCAGCATCACCAAAAACCTTATTTTCAAACCCATAAAGATTACATTCTGAATATCAATATCAACCAAAACTCAACTGAAAAACAAAACAGTGGTTTTAGTTAACATATCCATGAATTAGGGAACTAAAGGGTTAATGTTCTAGTTTTGCCGTGCCACTATTATTTGTAAGTATTAATAGTCTCCAAACCCAGGTATGTAGGAAGCAGTAGAATGCAGCTGGAAAGCATAGGAGAAGGACATTGTGGCATTCAGAAACCTCAGGAGACAAGATAAATTTGGGAAACCAAATGGAATTATTTTAATGGAAACCATTTATCAGATTAATCTCTAGCTCTTTGCATTTTTAGAGGGCACCAATTAATTTCCTGGTCTTTAGTATGTAATAACCTAAAACACAATCATAACCTCAGACATGAAAAATACATCACTCTTTATTTTTAGCTCAAATGTATCTTCCTAATTGCCCATGTAAGGACAAACATTTGACAAGTTAAGTCAATGACTGCACTCGTCCACTCTGCTATGCATGCCCTAGAAGCCAAAATGGAAAGCCATTGGCTCGGGGTCTAATATAATCTTCAGGATGGAAGGTCCCTGGAAATAGCATACCTATTATGCTTTAGATTATACAAAGCACTTTCACACACATGACCTAATTTAATTCTCATAGGGACGGTCTGAGGTAACTGCCCTGCTGCCCCTTTTCAGATATGGAAACAAAATCTCAGGGAAGCCGAGTGAGTGGTCTGGGTCAGGTGGAAAATCAAAACATCCCATGAATCCTGCAGCTGCCAGAATATGTACACCTCCTGGACCTAATTCTCCTGGATCCTAAGATAAAAGGCCTGTGTTGTCTGGTTTTATTTGCTCTGCTCTGAAGGTTTCAAAGGAAAGAGGGAGCGATTTGATCGTATTCGTCATCTGCTGAAAAGCGTCATCAGAAGGCCTTTCCTAGGCCACCATTGGTATTGCTCAGTCTTGATCTCCCCTCCCTGCCAATCCCAAATCTTACATTCAGGAAATTTCCTCTTCCCTTTAAACTCCTCTAATTGATGCCCTTTGGTCAAAAGAGTCTCTGTCAGTTTCAAATACCAGAGAAATTGCTCTACATCAAGTGATGCACCTTCAGTCAAACTTAAAAGCCCAGAATTCTCAGGGGGATCCAGTTTTCCAATTGCTCTGCGATAATAACAGAACAACAGAAAGCTAACGTGAACTGTCTCCGGTGACCCGCATTCTACAATCTACTGACATATGGAGTTTTTCTTCTTCTCTGAAACTACTTGGGTATTTCCTACTTGAAATAAAATTGTGTTTTTTGTTTATAAGTATTAAGACTGCTAAAACTACACTTAGTTCAGAGATGGCCTGTTCCTGACTATAAACTGAGATCTTCTGAGGAGCTTTTTAAAAATATGCCCGGGTGGTCATTTGTAATGCCTGGGGTGATTCTCATGCAGCCAGGGTTGAGCACATTGACTTGGTGAATTATTGGGTCTAAGGCTTCTTTCAGAACCAAATCTGGTGAGGGCCGGGCAGTTCTGGTAGGATTCTCAGCGTCGGGGTCCTCATGGAGTACAGAGCAATGGTTCCCCAAGGTGGGTAGTCTTGCTTCCTTCCCACTTCCACCCACCATTCGTGCAAGGAGACATTTGTCAATTCCTGGAGAGATTTTTGGTTGTCTGCCTGGGAAAGGGGTGTTACTGGCATATGGTGGGTAGAGGTCTGGGATACTACTCAACAATGCACAGGACACCCCAGGCCCCCACTCCCTGCAATAAAGAATTATTCAGCCCAAAATGTTTACAGTGTGGAGGTTGAGAGACTCTGGAGTCAAGAAAAGGTGAGGAGAGGAGTAAGACTATGTTGAAATACTATTCCCTGATTCCAGTTCTGCCAAAAACAGATGCCAAACAAGTCGAGAACAGACCCTGGGGGTGGATTATAGAGCAGGAGACAACCCAACATTTGAGTTTTCAGATTGGATTGTGGAATCTATGATCCATGCAGGTGTTCATTATACACTCCTTGGTGATTAATGACTAGGATTACGAAGAGGAAATGTACACTTATGAAAATCAACTCCAGGAAGGTTTTTAAATGGGGGGGGGGGGGAGGGCGCGAAAAAGTCCTTTTGTTCCAGATGCTCACACACAAGTCCTCCCCTCCCCCACCTTACAAGTGGGTTTGTCTGTGTCAGGTTCTTTTTTTTGGGGGGTGCGGGGGGGGGGGAGTTAACACACACACAGGCACACACACACACACAAGCCAGAAATCTTGGCACATGCCTTTGACCAGAATCAAACCTCGAACCCTTCAGTCCACAGGCTGACGCTCTATCTATTGAGCCAAACCAGCTAGGGCTGTGTCAGGATCTTATCTAAGAGAAGATCTATCATGTGGAATGACTCCTTATCAGAAGTGAATTATAATAGATACAACGAACCTACTTGTTAAATAGACCCTTTAGGAGCTAAAATTGCAGCATGCCCCCCTTGCTCTCTTCCTTGTCATCCCTAAATCTTAATAGAAACATTTATCTTAATGCCAAAAAATAGAACTTATGATTTTCCAACCAGTTGTGATCTCAGGGCATGTCAAAGCTTATAGGACTTTTCTAAGCAGTAAGAGCCAGAGTTAATATCAAATGTTGAACAGGATAAGTGGAGTATAAATGTCACTTTTAAAATCTGATCCTTAACAAAAAAAAAAAGTATTTCCTTCCAATTGCTTTACACACACACACACACTTGTCTAATTTAGAGGTATGTCAGTGCTCAAAAATGTCATCATGGAAAAAGAATGACCACTTCCAATTACAGAACCTATTGTAACACATAAAAACATGTGGTAACCCACAAGTAACAAGTAAACCACCAGATCTGCTGTAAACAGAGAAAAGGTGGGTAAGGGGGTGGGAGTTTCATTCTGCCTATGAGATCATCTTATACTGCATGCCCCCCAACCCAAGACAGCCTCTGGGAGGTCTCTGAAGAGAAACTGTAGGGTGGGGGGTCTTCAGAATTTAAAAACACTTTTACAATTTGAAAAATATTGATAAGTTGTTGAACATTTTTTTTGTAGTTGTATTTTTTATTATTTTTTCTCATTTTTTTAATTAAAGTATTATATGTGTACATACCTTACCAATCCCCCCACCCTCACTCCCATACATGCCCTCCCTCCCCAGAGTTTTTCGTCCATTGGTTATGCTTATATGCATGCATACAAGTCCTTTGGTTGATTTCTTATCTCCCCCATTGAACATTTTTATAAAGGTTTCAAGGATAGAACATATCAAAAGCCATGTTCAACCCCAAGTAGTAGTCTAGGTTTCTTAATAAATAAATTAAAATTTTTATACAGAATTAATCAACCCACAAAACATTAAGCACAAAGAAATGTATGTCAATTCTCAAACTGGGACTGTAGGTAAGTCTATACAAATAAATAGGCAGGCAGAGCAATTCACCAAGTCCCAGCCTCTTTCTTGTGGCTGGAATGGCGTAGTTCTTATTCAGGAGAAACTTTCTCTAGATTAATGAAAGGAGAAACCCCTTGTAACTAAATATGAGTAAATGAACGGAATTACTTGAGAGAATCCATGTAGTGATGTGTGGGTTCTATCAATCACAATTCAATTCCATCTCCCTCCAGTATCACATATCTTTTGGGGCTTGGGGCACTTTTGCCTTCTAGGAAATAACCTCACATCCCCCTCTCCCCCCCTACACACACACATGTTATAAATTATATATTTTTGCACGTGGTGCGGAGGGGGGTGTTCCCTCAGCCCAGCCTGCACCCTCTCCAATCTGGGACCCCTTGGGGGATGTCTAGCTGGTGGTGGGATGGGGCCTAAACCAGCAATTGGACATCTCTCGCAACACCACTGGCTCCTAACCACTCGCCTGCCTGCCTGCCTGATCACCCCTAACCATCTTTGCCTGCAGGCCTGATGCTCCTAACTGCTCCCCTGCCTGCCTGACTGCCCCTAATTTTCTCTTCCTACTGTCCTGATCACCCCTAACTGCCCTCCCCTGCCAGCCTGACCATCTATAACCACCTCTTCCTCAGCCCCCACCACCTTGGCTTTGTCCTGAAGGACATCTAGAAGATGTTGGGTCTAATTAGCATATTACCCTTTTATTAGTATAGATCTGTGGTGAGCAAACTGCTGTTCGAGAGCCACATGTGGCTCTTTGGCCCCTTGAGTGTGGCTCTTTGGCCCCTTGAGTGTGGCCTGGGCGAGTCTATTTTGAAGAAGTGGCATTAGAAAAAGTTTAAGTTTAAAAAATTTGGCTCTCAAAAGAGATTTCAATTGTTGTACTGTTGATATTTGGCTCTGTTGACTAATGAGTTTGCAGACCACTGGTATAGATAATGGCCCTGCCTCCTGCTTCCTTCCCATAGCATGCCCCCCAGTGTCAGAGCCCAGTCACACAGTGGCCTTTTCTTCCTGTCCCTCAACTCCCTGCCTGTATGGCCTCAGGAAATAGAACCCAGGGAAGATGAAACCAGAGGTAGGGATAGAGATAGAGGAGAGCTCTGGGGGTCCTGGAGGCTGTGGGGGTCCAGGGGGTCCAGAGGCCAAGCCCCAGGCCATGGGGATCCTCCACATCCTCCACCTCCTTGTGAAGCACCCAGTAGAAGAAGGGATTTCCTGAGCTTCTGAGAAGAAAGCAAGGGGTACTGGAGCCTGGGCATCATAAGCAACAGAGACCCTGCACTGTGTTAACACATCGTTCTTGTGTACTATCTCAGTTTACAAAGCACGTTCACAGCTAGTATCTGATAAGAGTCTTTGAACAGACCAGCAAGTAGACTATTGTCCCCATTTAGAGATGAGAAAACTGAGTCTCACAGGCCTAAGAGCTTTGCACCCAGTTCCAGAGTGAACAGTGGCAGAGGTGGAATACAAATCACATGGCTAAGAGTGACCAACAGTCCCAATTTGCTTGGGATCCAGGGATTTTCTGGGGTGTGTGAGGCCGGCGCTAAAGTCAGAAAGAGTTGGTCACCCTACATCTTGAGTCAAGACCCACACACCTCCCAGCACGGTGCCAATTAACATATACTGGCAGAGAAAATAGTATCATGGGAGTACAGTAATATAATGGACTCTCCACCCAGCTGCAGCAGTTACCAATGTATGGCCAATACTGTTTCCTCTGTGCCCCTCTCTGTCTCCCTACTAACCTGGGATTATTTGTTGAAGCAAATCCCAGGCATGCTGTCATTGTATTCATGAATATTTAATATATATCTAAAAGATAAGAATTCTTTAAAAATATTAGCATCACACACAAAAAAATAATTATCAATGGTGTCTTAATATCATCAAAATCCAGTCACAGTTCATCCACCCAGTAAGACTGTCCTTTAACTCTTGCGAATAACTGCATGGACTGTGAATATGGGAGACAGGTGATTTACTCTGATGTCCAGTTCCTCAGGACAACATTGGGCTTTTGTAGTACTAATTTATCTGTGTTTTGTACTTTGTATTAGAGTCTTCTTTAAGAGTTTTGCAAAATATTTTCATTTTTACAACAAAAGGAAAATGCATGTGCCCACTGTTACTAAAAGTACCCATCTGGCAGGAATGAAATTATGTCTAGGAAGGGAGGAAGCCTCAAATGTACTTGAAATTGTGAGAAAGGTCTAATACTACATTAAAAAAATGCATGCTCTACAAAATGCTCACATTTTAAAAGCTAAAATGCACTGTTAAAAGAAATCCAAAAATTTTTAAACAGCCATACAGCCCTCTCTGTATGTGAAACTCTGTGGCTGATTAAGGTAAGTGGATATCTAAAAATTTCTAAGCTATGATAATCTTTAGGAGTGGTGTTTATTTGATATTTCTTATTTATTTATTTATTTATTTATTTATTTATACTATTTTACCCAAAGACTTCAGACTTTTGAAAATAAAAGCAAATAAGAAGTACCATAATACAGCCCAACTTTTGCATAAAGGAAGTCACCTCTACTAAAATATTTTTGTGTATTTTTTAATATGTTTTTATTGATTTTTTTTTTTAGAGAGGGATAGAGAAATAGAAACACTGATGAGAGAGGAACATCATTGATCGACTGCCTCCTGTATGCACCCACACTGGGGATCAAGACTACAACCATGTGCCCTGACAGGGAATTGAACTGGTATCCTCTTGGTTCCTGGGTCAATTGCTGTGTTACACTGGCTGAGCTGAAAGGGGGTTTAGATGGCCCTCAGCTGGCTTATCTCATCTAATAAGATGCTGATACAATAGATGAGATAGCCACAAAGATCTTTGAGGGTGAAGGGAAAGGTTGGGCC